TTCTGTAGTTATTTGATCTGAACACTGCACTGCCTTCCTGTGAGGTTCCCAACGTTGCTGTATAGACTCTATATATAATACTCAAAAATAAAGGCGATGATAAAAGATTATAGAAGTTGTGTACTTTGAACATGCTCTCTGTTACAACTATGATATGGTACAATTGATTACACCCCGCTTTCCGAGCCACCATTAAATATAAATTGATGTGACCGTTTAACTTTCGTATGCTCGTTTTTCCGTTCGAACGCACATTGTACCCGCCGCTACTAAACCATTGACTGGATTTCAATGAAACTTTCATAGGAGCTATAGTGAAAGAAGGAATAGTGTACCTCCTATCTTTGGTTCGTGAGGTATGAGGTTTCAAGCAGAGCTATGACCCTGGCTTCAATCATATCTATAAAGGAGAAGTTATCTTTTGTATGCATCTTCCCCTATAACAATAGCCTTATTTCGATGAAAATTTCATTTATCTTACGTAAAGACGATGCATTTCTCTTTTTATTTTTCGATCTGAATGATTTTGGATTAAACGAAGGAAAAAACGAGTTTGACACATCCGTTCAAACAGGGAAGGGAGCCACATTCTGTATGTGTCTGTCTCAAGCCATGAGCCTGTAGTTAAGTGATTGCAGTTTGTGGCTGTATATCATATTTGTTTTTTAATTTTTTTTTCATAAATCAGGCTATTGGTTTTATTCATTTGAATTCTTATGCATTTTGTCATGTCTTTGAATTTTAAAGCTTGCTATGCATTATTATGGGTTTTGTTCTTTGTTGAAGGCCGTACGGTGACCTATAGCTGCTACAGAACTTCTACGTCATATGGTCTCTTGTGGAAAGTGTCTCATTGACAATCATACCACACCTTATTTTTATATGTTAAATAATACTTACTTTTTTAATGATACGATGGTCCAGTTTATTTTATGATGCACACACAGTAAATTTCATTTGAATAAAAAAAAAAAACAAAAGCATTTGCGTCATTTTTATTTCGAATGTCAACATATTTTAAACAGTGAACACAAAAATTAAGAAATTAATCAAATAGAGGTAGATGTGATGGCATGTATGACTGCATATTTATATATGTATGAGTCCTAAGGTTCATTAACCGTTAAACTTGTAACCTACACATTCTTCTTTAAAAAATTGCGTTAAAGTGAAAGACAGACCAGTAAAAAATGTAGCATGTCATTATATTATCTACGAAAGCCTATTAGGGTCACAAAAAAAAAATATTTATCGCGTAATTACGTAATTACGAGAAAACTATCGCGTAATTACGAGATTATTATCGCGTAATTACGAGAAAACTATCGCGTAATTAAGAGATAATCCTTTTTTATGTCGTAATTACGAGAAAACTATCGCGTAATTATGAATTAATTATCGCGTAATTACGAGAAAACTATCGCGTTATTACGAGATAATCCTTTTTTATCTCGTTATAACGAGATAATAATCTCGTAATTACGAGATAATTATCGTGTGATTACGAGAAACCTATCGCGTTATTACGAGATAATCCTTTTTTATCTCGTTATTACGAGATAATTATCTCGTAATTACGAAAAAATTATCGCGTAATTACGAGACAACTATCGCGTAATTACGAGATAATTATCGCGTAATTACGAGATAACAGTAATTACGAGATCATCATCGCGTTATTACGAGATAATCATTTTGTTATCTCGTAATTACGAGATAATCATCGCGTAATTACGAGAAAACTATCGCGTAATTACGAGATAATCATTTTCTTATCTCGTAATTACGAGATAATCATTTTTATACGCCCGTTTACGGGACGTATTATGGTATACCGTTGTCCGTCGTCAACATGTCGGACATTAACTTAAAAACGCTTTAACTAATTTGCATAAAACTTTAGTTAATTATTTATGTCTATTGAAGTGAGCTTCCTTTCATTTTTAATAAATTTTAGATTTTACGTTTCCGAGTTATGGGGTTTTATTCATAAAAAAGGGGGGATTTTCCAGTTTTCGGACAAAAAATAAAAAATGCTTTCAGCAGTTCTTATAAAACTTTGGTGCATTGTTTATATCTATTGATGTAAGCTCTGTTTAGAATTTTATAAATTTTTCATCTATCATTTCTGAGTTATTGGGTTTTATTCATTAAAAAAGGGGTGATTTTCCAGTTTTCGGACAATAACTCAAAAATGCTGTCAGCAATTCTCATGAAACTTTGGTGAATAGTTTATATCTATTGATGTAAGCTCCCTCTACATTTTCATAAATTTCTAATATGTCATTGAGAATTAATTGAACTTTATTTGTTTATAGTCTGACAACAGTTTTGCTAAGTATTGCGCAACAGCACAGTGTATTGCACAACAGCAAGAAATCTTTAATTGAATATAAATTCAATTCATATAACCAATTTCAAGTTCTTTGACTACATTTATTCAGAAACCTATTATATGTCAAATATTTAATTACAATCCAAATTCAGACCTGTATCAAGCTTGAATATTGTGTCCATTTTTGCCCTAACTGTTCAGGATTGGACCTCTGCGGGCGTATCCAGCTGCGCTCAGCGAAGCAGTTTATTTTATCTCGTAATTACGCGATAGTTTTCTCGTAATTACGTGATAGTTTACTCGTAATTACTCGATGATTATCTCGTAATTACGCGATAATTATCTCGTAATTACGAGATAAAAAACTTCTTATCTCGTTAATTCGCGATAGTTTTCTCGTAATTACGCGATAGTTTTTTTTTATATTAATTATACCTCGTAATTACGAGATAAACATTTTTTTTTGTGACCCTTATAGGCTTTCGTAATAATCTAAGTAAGTTAAATAAAAAAAAAATACCCCCTTTGATATCGTCTCAATTTAACGGTTCTGAAATATATGTAGTAAAATAAATAAATAATAATAGTTATAAACACATGCACCCCAATTAAAAAAAAAAACACAAAATAAAAAACAAAAACAGACAGACTATATAAAAAAAAACTATTTTATATTTTGACTTTTAAATAATTTGACCTCGAGCATCACTGGAGAATAAACATTAATTGTCGAAATGCGCATCTGTTGCAGTAAAATGGGTATTGTTTAATATCGTTAGACGGTTGATCACAGACATGTTCCAATAGTCGTAACCGCTACCCCGTCCTCTTTTACCCGATAATGAAATCACCAAATCAAACTTATCACCGAATTTGTACATAACATGAGCAATATGACGGGTGCCACTAGTGGGGCAGATCATCCCCATTTTTAGGTGGGGTTCGTGTTCCTCAGTCTTTACTTTTCTGTGTAATGTTTAGCTAAATATTGAGTAGCTGAAAATATGTATACTTCATCTCTTTATAAACTATTTGAAAGTCGAACAACTTATACGAACTTGAAGAGCTAATATATCTGAACAGGACCAATTAACCTTCAGAACTTTTGATAGAGTTTCCTGTCGACCAACATGCCAACCTTCAGAACTACTGACAGAGATTTCCCTGTCTAACAACCATGATATACGTACAATTTAAATATAAAAAAACGAGAAAACAGAGAAATTTCAAATGACTTCAGAACAAATTACAATCAATCCATACGGTTATGGTTTTGTTCGGAACATGGCCTTTCGAATTGAGGATTAAATTGGTAAAGAAAAAAACACTATAACATTGAAGATATATAAAAAAAAATACATAAACAAATACAGTAGGTAACATATAATGTTGTTCACTTTCGTGTTCAATTATGTTGGAATATATAATGTAGTCAAATTTTAAAGTTAACAATGTTTGAAAAAAGGTATGCATGTTATTTGTAATAATAAATAAGATAAATTATTAAATGATTGATGTTCATAAAGCTTTATTTACTACACTATTAACATAAAAACACTGTTCTTGTTGCTTAAATTGTATAACCATTTTCCCTAAATATAAATCAAGATTGCAAATAACTATACAAAGTTACTTAGCATTGTGCAACACGTTTTCTTCCTCTTTCTATTGTTTATGGTAATGGCGTATGAGGTATAATCCGAGGTATAGTCGTCAATGTTAGAGTGTGAAACCGCTTGATTACAATTCAGCTAGTTACATTACTTTAAAATTCATCATTAACTTTGAGCAACTTTAATATAATATTACTCTTTTTTTATAACGCCAGTATAATGAAAAAAAAAAAAATAAAGAGACCATAGGCTTGATATCCAAAAAAAAAAGAAAAGGTTTTAACCCTGCAAAATATCCATGTGCCAGTAGTTAGGAACTTAATCAGTGGTTGTCTTCTGTTATATCGTAGTGTTTTGTCCCTTATATTATTGCGGGCCTTCGTTTAATTAAAGGGATCAAACCCATATATATAGCTATACTAAATTAACCCTTACCCATATCTTACATAAACTTTAGCATTGGGCCTTAAACCTACCCCTAACCATAAATTAACCCTACCTCTAAACTACATGGTCACCAAAAGGTAAATGAAGGCCGGATTTTGTTTGAAGAAATGTAAAATGGCATAATTAATCTCATGTTAAACGATATTCTTTTTGGCTGCCATTATACGATGATTTTTTGTTGACCTTAGATGGATTTGGCTATTCTCTTTTGGTGAAATCAATGCATACACTCTATAATTTACGTTATTTTCATTTTATATTTTGGAAAACAATGTATGGAGCTATTTACACTGCATTGATCCGACAGTTATTGAAAGCAACGAATGCACAGATTTCGTGATGAGAAGTTTTTGCGCCAACATTATGTTTTAATGTGTTTCTTAGAGTAGTTTGATGTTGGTTTAGTATTGAATTATGATAATAAATGAAATGAAAATGAAATGAAAATGTTATTGTTTAAACAATCCAAAAGATTTTCTTTTAAAGACATTATTCTAGAAAACTTGTTTACAGTAATAGAAATATTCAGTTTTAAAAAAATATAAAGATAGAAAAATAAAACGGTGCAAACTTGAATAATTATCTTGACATTTGAGATGGGGATACTAAATTAATGCAAAAGATGTACATATTACGTGTGGTCGCTTATTTAAGCACAAAGAAACTAGTTACAGTTTTCATTATTTGTTGACTTACAATGTACATGTGTTTTGTTTATATCCTGAAGTTCAAAAGGTGCGTTAGCCGAGTTGCGAACAACAAGAGTCAGTAAGAGTAAAATTTGTTTTTATTTACATGATGGGAAAATTTTGTCTCCTCGTATCTGGCATTAGGACCTCAATAAAATTAGATCAAACCGTGGTTCCTCTATTCATCAGCATTTCTGGGTGGAAGGCGTAATACTCTACACAGACTTGGAGTATTTGCTAGGAAAATAAATAGAACTGATAATAAAAAGATAAATAAGTAAACAATAACATGGTATGTCAAATGGTACAATATGCCCTTATGAGAAACTCACAGGGCCAAACATAACGCCACAAGGAAAGATTTAAAAACTTATTGACGGGAAATAAAGGAAATATGAAAACTACATGTACACAGTACAAACTTATTATATACTACCATTGACAATCTTACGGTAATGCATCGACTTGGGAAATATATGGCGACCTGCTTAAAATCTGTGAAAGGTCTGTTACGAACAAGGTTGTACGAGAATTTCAGTTTAGTTGTTACCTTAACCCTACATCTCTACCTATTATGGTCCTCTATCCGAAGATTAATTGTTGTGTATGAATATCATGATCAGTGTATAACTACCACGACTATGCATGGTGTTTGGGTGGCAGTATAATCGGAATGATTCTGTAATTACAAACTCTTAATTAAGTATGGTCAACTTTGATGTCAATGAATCGTGTGGTTTCAGAGAAAAATAATTTCAAAAGCGAACATGCGACAGACTTAAAGTGACAAAAGAGCTTACGTTGGCCATTTGGATCAGATGGGCAAACACAAAATGTTGATTAACGGACGGACAGACTTCATTAATTGTATGATAATCCGAGTCTGACAACTCGCAACTCGGCTAAACTAAAAAACACTACGATGACATTTTTTTCTGAATCCATTTTAAATATTTAGACACATTTGTGTAGAGTCCATATTTGCCCTTTTCTCCACAACCTTCCCCATAACTTGTTACACCCGTAACATACCAAACAATGTCGCCATTTTTTCTTTTGACAGGACACATAAGTGGGCCGCCGCTGTCACCAATACAAGCGTCTTTAGTTCCCTTTTTGAAACCTGCACATATTTGTGAGTTATTGATAGGAAAAGTAAATGCCTTTTTGCATTTTTTCTTTCTGACAATTGGTACTTGCACTTCTTGTAAAGCGTCACTACCTTTCATCGAGGTAATTGTTTGTCGACCCCAACCTACAGTCGTACACATGGTACCATGTTTTATTTTGAATTTTTTATCAGGAAGGCATGCTACGTTCGTCACATTTGTCAATGGAATTTCTTTCACTAATTTAATTAATGCAATATCATGCATCACAGCATTATAATCAAACTTAGGAAATGGATAAAATTCTTCCACCCTCGTTTCTATTTCTGTTCCTTCGCGTCTTTTTCTGTTATGTTCACCTAATCGAACCCGTATTTTCCGTCGCTTCACTTTTTTTGGAATGCAATGTGCTGCTGTTAATATCCATTTTGGATGAATTAACGTCCCTCCACAGAAGTGTTTTCTCTTCTTTATCAAAATCTCGGCCTGTAAATATAGAAGTACATTCTACACGAAAGGAAAATATTTTCAAAGCGTTTAATTGATTATATATTCTTTTATCAAAAATAAAACGTAACATAAGAACCTGCTCCAGAATAATGTTGTACTGCACCGTATAGTACAAATGTTTATTAGATGGTCTTATATAAAATGAATGTTAACTCTGTAGACTATAGCAGTACAGTTCTGTAAAACACTATTCTTGCGTGCAAAACACTATAACAGTTTCTATTTTTGTATGCATAATACTTTGTATTGCTATATTAATTTAAAAAAAGGTCAAGCATCTTTTAATATCTTCTTAGACATATATCTTGTAGCTGGTTATCATCTATACTTATGATTTACTGAATAACTTAGCACTCTTAAACTTCCCACAACACGCTGTCATAGTCTAGCCTTCTTAATTGGAATAACCACATCAGATATAAAAACAGCTTTGGATGTTTCTCATTTGTCATGAACATCCTAGCTCATTTGTTTCAAATGTCTGTAACACAAATATTCAGGACAAGTTGACCTTTTTATGAAGTAAGTTATGCAAAATATTTTGTCTGAAACAGGTTACATCAAACTGCTTGGCATGCAAAGATAATAGCATAATCCCATTACGGGTTGAGAATTGCAGTAATTTACGTGGAAGGAAAAAATAGGTTTGACTTGAAGGCTTTAAAAAGGCAATCCTTTGTGTCAAGTATTCTGGTATATAAGTTCATGTATGAAACTTTTTAATTATGTAAAATGTCTTTGTAACTTCCACTTAATTAATTAATATTTGACTGGCAGCACATATCTGCCAGGTAATTGTTTTGTTGTATAGTAAATGAGATTTTTAGTAAAAGAAATATCATCACATATGACCACGGATTATGTGTGCTGTGTCATGACCACGGATTATGTGTGCTGTGTCATGACCCGGTCCACAGTTCCCTATGATGACATCCTAATCGTGACTTAACACCAGATTTGTACATGTCATCAGTATCCTTACGGTAGCCACAAGCGGAGTAGGAACTGTTTAATTTATGGAGCAACTGAGTTCTTCCCTGTTTCAGTTGGTATTCATGTTGCTTAATTCCTGAGTTTTTTTTATGAAACGTTTCGAAAACTGTTGTTTTTCTTTCTTTCGGCTATGCAAAATGCTGGTTGTCTTTCTCCAAATTAAGGTTTTCACTTCCCCTTGCATTTTTGAAATAGAATTCTACCTGTTTTTATGGTTAAACATTTTAAAATCGCTTTAAACCTTTATACATTGAGCATTTATGTCGGGAAATCATCAAAGTTTACGTAACAGATGATAGCACTTGTAGAGCTTGTAGAAAAGACTATGAAACAGTCTTGATTTATTCATTTTTCATGCATGGAACCGATGAATGGACTAAACAAAGTCTATTGCAAATTCGTAGTACTGCAGGGAACAAATTTCATTCATTCATTAAAAAAGACACTGTACGTATTTCCTTGTCTTTATTATGCATTATGTCTCTCAAGCGTATCCCGACAGATTTTAACTAGAAGAGCGCTTAACAAAATAAAATTAGATTCTACGTGTAACTCGATAAATGCTTTTCTTAACTGGTCATAAAATAATACATTACCTCATATATCATCTAATAAAGATGAACATACGATATGTATAAGAACGCAATTAATATGGTTACATGTAAAAGGCAAGAAAATGTGGGAAATGTGATGAGTTTGTTTAAAATCAGTATGTTCTTTGCTAAAGAGTGACATAACCCAATGTTATAGATATTACCTGCCATGGCCAACTATGTGGATATGCTTCTCTTCCTCCAACAATTCTTAGCGATCGCCTCGATATTGCAGGCCGTATACCGCAGGTTCCGTCAGCTGATGATGTTGACACTATAAAACAGTAAAATACATATTCTGTAACTAAAACTTTATTTCTATTACAAACAAGTTTGAAGCTATACGCGAATTTATTTATTTCTATCGAAATATGAAAAAAATAAAAACCAGATCAGAGTCCTCAATAGTAAATAAAGTTGTGTTTGATAGACTTAATAATCATGTGAACATATCAAATTTCTCATTCTTTCATATCTTTATTTTTAAAAAAAAGTCATAAAGTGTAACATGAAAAAAACCTTCTGTGCCAAATAAAAAGAAACTCATTATAAAAAAAAATCTAAAAGGAAGAAGTATAATGTTCCAACTTATTAATACAAGGTTAAAACTGTCCTTAGCATCGGTTATTGTGGTACTCTTATAAAGTTACATCTATAATGTGTATTCACGTGTCTGTATTTAACCAGAAGTATGTCCAGAAGATCTCCTTTATGTTTATTTCCTCTGGGAATATGGTGTTGATATTTGTTTGGAAGCCCTATTAAAGTTTCTACACATTTTCTTGATGGCTTTTGTTGTACCAAAAAAATTGTCTTAGATCAATTAAATAAGTGATTTAAGCGCATACATGCATTATTTACTCTTGCCGCTAATCATTCAATCAATAACTATATTTCCAGAGAGCATTTTATTTTTAAGCGGTGTAACTAATGTTGTATGTCAACAATATAAATCCACATAGTGTTGTATTATGCGAACGTTATTGTTTCATACATTGCAATTTGCTTATACTTTGTTATTTTTAAAGTAATTTAATAACAAGTACATGCATAATTTACAAGTATATTCGAAGAATTGTTGCAAAGGTTCTTTAACGTGGATACGACGTGGCATTCCCCCCAAACGAGGCATCGGATTTAACATTCCTGTTCCGACCGGACGTGCGTATAAATAGTTCCCACACAGTCAAACGGAACCATCCCTCTTTGGCATGGGTTTTATTGCCGGATGGGAGAAGTCCAGATCATTATATTGTTCTAGATATTTATTTGTCTTTAATTGATGAATGAAATATTCATAATAATGTTTAGTATGTTATAACGGATAAATGAATCGCCAATTATTTACCCTATACTCGTGAAATCGAAAAAAAAAAAAATAGAGAGTTGAGCAGTGGTAGGAAACCAGTTTTTGGGGTGTGTATTGCAATGTTAATACATTTGTACAAGTATTAAATTTTAATCAGTCGATTTTAATGAACACGGGAAATTGTTTTGCGTCCGACCTAAATTTGAAAAATAACTACACAGAACCCTTAACTACAGCTTATTAGTAAAATTTGTCGTTGCTGTGTATATCTTTACAATGAAAATACATGAATTAAGAATCTGTTACATGTATTATAAGAGAGGTAGCATTATATATTAACCTTGACCTATTTTTACTCTAAAAGACTAATACAAAAGTTGTGAAATCTTTAAATGATTTATTGTGTACTTTAAAACTAGATTGCGTTATACACGTACCCGTATTTTTATGAGATGTTTTGCCTTGTATTACCAGTGACTTTTTACATTTGCCACCGATTGGTACACATTTCCTTTCTTCCTCTAAATAACCACCTTCACAAATTGTTGTCTTGCACATTCGACGTCGTTTACGAATGCATCTATTATTGCATGCTTTCCATGAAGTCCAAGGGTTGTAAAATAAGTCGTATAAATTATCCACAAGTCTGTTATTTTTTTCTGTAGAGTTATGTACTTTATACGATGTAACAATACAATTCCCTTTCTTGCGCTTACATTTACGTTTTTCTTTAATTCGGGATCTTCCGCAAGTCTTCGGAGATATACACTTCCGCTTTCTAGTCTGTTGGCAATGTTGATTACACTTTGACCAACCAGTCCATGGAGAGTAAGATTTAGCAAATAAGTCGTTATATGAGGTAGAGTTATGATTGTTGTCTGTATATGTCTTTGTTACATTCTTGGAGGTACCATGGTCATCCTTCTGTAAAGGCAAGGGAAAAACTCTTATTAATTAATAAAACTATAGATGAAACAGGAGGAAAAGACTAAATTAAGCCAACAACTATTTACTCGATATAAATCTGGCAAGTGCCAAAGAAACACTGTAATTTCAAAAAGTTATAGTCTTTAGGAACCAAAAGAAGTCATCATCATGTTCAATAATACAACATAAAAAAAACCCGTACCAATTTGCATAACCTTCGAACAATTATAGAACTATTAATAACCGGTTATTTGGTATTCGGATAAATTATTTCAAAACATTGAATATCAATGTAAACTTTACATCGCACGAGTTTCGATAGGTCATGAATCTATGCTGCAAAAATGTATATCTGTAATTAATATTAAAAAACTCGAAGCTGTACTTACTACAAAACAACACACAGAAACAGACAATAAAATGTGGCGGAGCATGTTAACTTTTTTTTAATATTTTCTAACCTCGGTGAGTTGCTGAAGTTTTATCAAGAAAAACAATTAAATTTCATTATATCGGAACAAAGGAACAAAACAAAACAGGGACACATAATGATACTTTGTATTTATTTACCATGTAAAGGAATTTCCGAATATATCATCTGGAGACGGCAAACTTTATTTTTTTTACCTGTAATTCAAACTTTCGATTACAATTCAATGTGAAATACATACAAATGTATTGGTAGTAATTTATCTTTCCCCTAATAAGATTTTTCAAAATTTACTGCAATACTATCGTACAAGACCAACTATTATTTGGCATTCATATGTAATAAGGGGAAACATTATTCCAGTACGTAACAGAAAATAAACTTGTAAAAACTCGCAAGACCAAAAGAAATTAGACAATTACAACAACAACAAAAAAGATAACAAAAACTCATTTTAAGTCAGAGATGCTGTTACATAACAGAGAAGCGAATTTAAAGATACCAAAGGGATATTCAAACTCATAAGTCGAAAACAAACATGCATTTGTTTGCACCTGTCCTAAGTCAGGAATCTGGTGTTCAGTAGTTGTCGTTTGTTGATGTGGTTCATAAGTGTTTCTCGTTTCTCGTTTTTTATATAGATTAGACCGTTGGTTTTCCCGTTTGAATGGTTTTACACTAGTAATTTTTTGGGGCCCTTTATAGCTTACTGTTCGGTGTGAGCCAAGGCTCCGTGTTGAAGACCGTACTGTGACCTATAATGGTTTACTTTTATAAATTTTGACTTGGATGGAGAGTTGTCTCATTGGCACTCATACCACATCTTCTTATATCTATAGACAAAGCCATGGCTAAAAAAGAAAAACGACCAAAATACAAACAACAGTACAAAAAACCCAATTTAAAAAACTAATGGCTGAGCAACACGAACCCCACCAAAAACCGGGGGTGATCTCACTAGACATATGCTCCGGAAGGGTAAGCAGATCCTTCGTGTTGCTCATGTAAGTACAAACCCGATTGTAAGTCTAAATCAGGTGGTCACATTCGAGGAAAAGAGGACGGGATAATGATTTTGTTTCAAACATGTATTATTAAGGACGCGTGATGATACCACTTCAAAAACTGTGGATTCGTTTTTAGTTTGAACATTAAGATTCGTGGTTCGCCTATACCCACGAAATCCACGAAAATTGAATTCATAGGATTAGCATTTTTTTTTCAGTTCTTGCACGTAGTTCGAAATTTCGACAACAGTTTTGTAGAGAAATTATACAACTGAAAAGTAATTTCATATTATTATGCTTTTAAAAAAAAAAAATTTAAATCATTTTCTCTACAAATACCCGTTTAACCAAGAGAATGCACTTCCCTAAACTATAGCACGATAATATATGTTTATTTTGTAGGCTTTCGGTTATCACATGTGCTGCGTTTTACAAGAAAGACATAATGATACAACGTGAAACATCAGTTTAGAATGTCGAAATAGTTTAGCAAAGTAAGCAATAGTAAGTCAAATAGAAATGTTGTTTCTATGTTAAGAACGAATTTATGAGGACGACTTTTTTCATTTTCATACATGTAGTCATGATTTGAATGAAACGTCAGACACTTCAATTTGCTAGAGATATTTTTATCTGAGAGCCAGTGGTATATTTAACAGGAGTTGTTTAATACAGCTTAAAAGAAATCTATATTAATTTTCTCCATTAGTTCCATATAACTAAGTCACGATCAAATCGTCAATGGGAAGTTTACGTGTACAATATTTTTCTACTTCAAAGATAACCATACTGTTTGCTCATAATAAAGAATTAATTATTTCTAATACAAGGAAGAGAACAAAAAAACTAGAATACGTATTATGTAAAGATAAATTGAAAACATTGGGGATTGTCTTCAGAACTTACTGTATTTGTAATAATTTCTATTAATTACGTTATACTACATGCTACTCTACCACAAGAGTACTAAGCATATTTTCTAGTGAACAATTACATGTCGTTTATTTATTTGCCCGATACCTGATTTATAATTCATGCTACGGTAAATATGGTAGCAAGAAAAATTTTCCGCTCTCTCTCTCTCTCTCTCTCTCTCTCTCTATATATATATATATATATAAATGGATCTTCAAAATCGTGACTTAAACAATCCAGAAAAAAACCACGGATATTTGGCTGCCTGGTCGTGAATCTAGTATATAGAAGATGATTTAGATAACTTCATGTAAAGAAGTGTCTCCATACACATAAACATCAGAAAAAAGATGAAATCTAATGCGCACAAAACAACAAAAAAGTCGGCAATCTTCATCATACAATTCAGTATAGCATATACAAGATTTTAACCAACGCATCAAAAATGAAAATATAGTAGACAATACACACAAACGAGACAATCCAAAGTAAAGAAATAAAACTAAAATCAACAACAACAAAAAAAGCATACGAACAGAGAAATCTTAAGCACTCTTATCAAAATCGACATGTTAATGTGCTCTGGAGGGATAAGCATATTGCCTAGTAGCAAAAGATGGTAATAAGGCAGATTCGGTCGTAAGGTTAACATATATAGAAAGAGATCAGAGGCTTTGTAAGAAATGATCCCTTAATTTGGTTGAAGATGAACAAAATTTTATTATTAGTTGTCCAGCATACAGTGATGATTGAGAAATATTTTTTCAAGGAGATAAACAATGTTATATTAGTCATAACTTTTTCAGATCTCTCAAAAGAGGCAAAAGGAGAAGGTCCTAATATTCAAAGTGCATCTGATGAAAGATTTTTGTCATTTTTTATACAATTAAGTGTCTACTTCAGTCGATTTAATTAGTTTATGTTAAAGATTTTAACTGATTTGGTCATCAAATAGACTCAAATTCAAGCTTAAATATGAAAAATCTATCAAATATGCCATAAAACGTCACTTTTCAGATGTTTTTTTGTCTAAAATGGAAGTGGCCGCATTCGTGTTCCGTCTCAACATTTATATATGTTATGTATTAAATACAACATATATTTAAATATTAAAACTGAACACAAGTGCGGCCACTTCCATTTTAGACAAAAACCGTCTTAAAATTAGCACAAATGCTAAAATTGTGAAGATTTTAGTATTTTTGCATGAAATAATGATGCTAGTACCTATTTACAAATGAAAATGTGTCTGTCCTAAAATTTTTAGGGAATTATGTTATTAAATGTCTAGATGTTAGACGAAACTTAAAGTAATATACGTAATAACGATGATTATTGTAATGATTTAATGGTTCTGGTACTGCCTGGAATAAAATGACATGATTTAAATAAGATGAAGAAATATATGTAGCTTTGAAACTATATGAACATTTAATATTTCATTTCAACGTATTTTTTTGTTTTTGTTTTTTTTACAAAATCATAGTGTATTGTTTTGTGTGTATAAATGGTTCATTCCTCCTATTCCCACTTTTTATAAATCAACGGTAAGAAAAGTTAAAATTTTTATGTCGGAATAGGAGGAAAACTTGTGCAAACAAAGGATAACACTTACACTGTGAAAACATTGTTTAATCAACTTTTAATTGACCAGTGATTTTGGATAGGTGAAAGGTTATTTTTTATGTGTATGAATTCTGTGTTTTTAATTTGAACAAACATGAAAGAAATGGAAACAAACATAGTAAATTATCTTATTTCTTTTATAACACAAAGTAAACAGTAGAAACAAACAAGCATTATAATATGAAATAAACAATACAAGTTAACAGCCCTAAAACAAGTCACACATTGTAGCACACACATTAGAAATTCACTGTTTATAAGTCTATCAAAGTTTATTAATCTATTCAACGTGAAGAAGGTGGGAGGCTGCATCACCAAACAGTACTGTTATGAAATTCTGGTAGCGGCGTCTAACCTTAAGCTCTTCTAATCTGTTGTTGATTTCGACATACTTTCGTTTTTGGGCCACTCTCTTCCAACCGGCTGCATACTGGATCATGGTCAGGGCGTAGCTTCCTCATGTTTCAGTAGTTTTATGAGCTTAAAGATGTTTGTATGTGGGTGCTTGAATGTTTCTTCCGCTGCTTTGCTATCCATTTAGATGATGTGTAGTCCGCAGTCCCTGTGTTGTGTAAAGGTTCAATCAGTATTTTGTTACATAGTCTGTAAAGGGCGTATAGTTGATGTTAGTATCAATCTGATCTATGTCGGCTAGGGCATTATACCGCACATCTTCGACCTCAGCAGTAGGTACAAGTGGACGGACAACGGCACAGCGTACTAGTTGATGAATTTTGTTGTCTTTCTTGTATGACACATGAATCCCTGTTCCTTGTGCTGCATTTCGGATGACGACTTCATAGTCCAAGAAGATAGTGGTATGCTGAAGTTGTAGTTGGTGTTGGTGACATACATCTGTGAGTAAAGTCAGGAACCTTGTGTATACTAGTTCGCTCTTGGCTGGAGGTAAACTGTGTACCAGTGGATACAGTGCGCCGTCAACCATTGCGTGAAATGTGAAAAGTTTGAAAAATAGGCTTAGACAGGAGTAAAACGTACCTTTACCATACTAGTATATG